ATAGATAGATAGATAGATAGATAGATAGATAGATAGATAGATAGATAGATAGATAGATAGAAGACAAAAAGGGGAGGGGGGCAGAGAAGGAAGATACTTGTTGGGTTTTATACCAAGATACACCTTTCTGCCATGATGGTTCAGATCAACACCATCTTTTCAGTGGGCATACTATATCTGAAGGCTGCCTGCAAGGCTTACCAAGGTAATTATTTGGAGCATGGTTCCCTGGATCAGCTAGGAAGAACACCAGCTCGCTGTGTTCTTCCAGGACTTAATACACCTGCCGCAGTCACCAGAAGGAGAATTCTGTTCATTTTACATTCCTGGAGGTGTGAAAAATGGTCTCCTTCAATTATCTCCTTTCCAAAAGGGGACCATTTATTCAGCCCCCTCCCCCCCTCCCCGGGAAGTTAATTTCTAAAGAGTAGAAGAGAAAAGAGGGCCATATTCTTTCCCAGATGTCCAGGAGGGCATCCATAGTGTTCCTTCCTCCTATTTTTCTCCACCACAATAATCCCCTGAGGAAATGTTGGTTGAGAAAGAGAATTTAGCTCAAAATCATCCTGGGAGCTTCCATGGCTGGGGGGGGGGGGGGGGGCAGGTAGGGAGACTAGAATCTGGGTCTCTGCTCCTAATCCAGACCCATCATCACTCTGCCACAATGACTGCTCTTATTGTTCATTATTTGGTGTATGATGAGAACATGACAGAAGAGAAGAAAGCACACACACACACACACACACACACACAATTCATGTAATTATATACAAAACTACCACAGGGCTACGGCAGTGGCCTGTCACAATAGTGGCCCGCATGCCTAACATTCCTTAAGCTGCAGGATCCAATCTGGGTCATTCACCGGAACCAGAGATTTAGTCTTCTGAGCCTTCGGACTCGTGCTGGAGCCCATGCTCAGACACACACTCTGCTAGAGATAAGTCCCGTGAGGATGAGCTCCAACACAAGTTCGAAAGCTGGGTGTCAGCTTGGAAGCCATTTTTCTTTGAGGCTTCTGGGCTGCCGCATTCAGTGCCTGGGAATTTGGGAGGGGAATTTCAAGGAGCGGTGGAAGATTAGCCACAACAACATTCCTTTCTCAGAAAGTCAAGGACATATTACCCTGCACCTGGAGGGGAGTGACTGGGGGTAGCCTCCAGTTGGACCATGTGATGGATGGTTGGGTGCAGGGGTTGGGTTTTGGATTTTCTTTAGGGTAGGGAAAACCCAGAACTCTTAAGATTCAGGTTTTCCTCAGATATGCCAATATGACATCTCTAATAAAGTGGATTTTTGGGAAGAAGATACTCTCAAAGTCTCTTTCTTTGGAACGCTGACATTGGGAAGACTAAACCTCTAGTCCCGATGACCGGCCCAGATTGGATCCTGCAACATTATCCTGGGATGTGTATATTTACATTCCTTAGGCTACACATGCTCCCTGGCAGTGCTAAATGGGTGGCAATGACCCAGATGTAGCTGTATTGCCCTCTTGGGCTTCATGGCCATGACAAACAGAAGATATTCGCCACTATTGTAAAACAAACAGAAGTGTATAAATGATTACCATAACTGCCATGGAGAACTTCCACTATTTACGAAGAAGCTGCTATGCTGGGTATGGAATAATAATAAAGACTAATAAGGACAGGCTAGAAAGGCCATTTCCTAACTCCTCTAATTCCCCAGGTTATTTTCTGAAACACTATCCCCATCTTTCCTTGGCAAGCAGAACATCTCCAAAGAAATGGCAAATGACTATGGGGTCCATGCAGATGACAGAGGTGCCCCTGAAATAAAGATGGATCTGGAAATGAATGCTGGATTTTCACTGATTCCTTCAGGAATCTTTTACTTCAGCAAAATGAACTTTCTATTCAGCTTCCTTGCTTAATATTCTCCAGATAGGTTTGGCTTTCCATTGCCAGAATTCCCTAATCAAACTGGTGGAGCCTGGTGTATGTCTTTTGGGAGACAGTGAAGGAAATCACCAAGAGATCCTAATGAGATTAGAAAAAATAACCTTCCCTCAGCGATTGAAAAGGCACCTCTGTTATTCGCCCAACAGAAACTACACTGTTCCTGCTTCAGCATTTCAAAGTGTTTTGCAATATAGTTTGAAACTCAGAAAATGCACATAGAATTGTGTGTGGCTATATATAATTGTATTGTGCAGAAGAGCAAATGCACACAAACACACATCAGCACACATGGGCACAAAGGACGTGCATATTTTCCTGAAAGCTTTCAGTGCAATTTTAAAAAAAATAATAATCATGAAACTAAAAAACTTGTCTGAATGAATGAATGAATGAATGAATGAATGAATGAATGAACAAAGAAACAAATGAGACTATATGCTATCTGGCCTCAGCAAATGACTGCATCAAATCAAGCTTTTCGGCAATCTGGGGAAATTACAAACAAAACCCAAAATAAGACCATAGCAAACCATTTCTGTACTGCTGCTAACCCAGTTGTATAGATGTAGATATTCTCAGTCCAAATGAGAGGACCTTTTACCTGCAGAATGGTTGAGATACAAGGATCAAACCCAGCTTCATACAGAGGCAGATCAATGGGTCAAACCATCTAGCTTATTCTCTCTACTTCGATAAATGGTATTTTTCTAAAATCAAGCCTGGACTTCTTTTAAGTCAAACAAATGTGTAACCCTCCAAGTAAAGCATCTTCCTGATAAATAGCAGCTAAGCAAGTGACTTTACCTGAAGTTTTGGTACAGCAAGACCACGTGCAAATGTTTCGCAGAGACTCGAAGCTGAGTTTCACAGCATCTCTAAGGCTCTTTCTGGAAGCCTGTTAAAGGCCATGAGACCAAGGCCATAGAGTCATCGTCCTAGAAGGGAGCAGAAGAGGAATCACATGGCAGACCTGAGTGGACTCTGAGTCTCTGTGGGACTTTTACAGGAGGTTTAAAATAATGGGTTATTTTTCATTCCACTGCAACCACAGGAGAAATTTCTTAATATCACCTTCCTATTTTTTTCTTGAGGCCATGCAGAGTACAGTAATGAAGACACTCCTTATACTACTCCATGTGCACTCAAATTTATTCCAAAGGACCAAGAACACTGCCTCCACTTTTTCCCAAGAAAGCAGTCATTATAAATATATGCATTCAGAAAAATCCACTGAGCTCCACACCAGAGAGAAAGTCTCAATGTTTGGACTACAACTTCCATCACCCTTGCCAGTTGCCATGCTGACTAGAGTTGAAAGTCAAATCAAAACCTCTGATGGACACCATGTTACCAGCTATAGCCTTTATAGAATAGAACAGAGTTCTTTATTGGCCAAGTGTGAACAGATACACAAGGAATTTGCCTGCAATGCAGAAGCTTTCAGTGTACATATAAACAGCGAGTAAAAGTTCATAGTTCATAATCATAATTACAATGACTAATCGTAAGTTACAAACAACAGTTGTTACAAAACCATAAGAAACCAATAGGAGAAGATAGTAGGAAAGATGAAAAGGTGAGAAAAGATGAGAAATGAAACAGTGCTACGGGAATTCAATGTTTATGTAAATCTTTTATCTCTAGTTGTTTTGGCATGCAATGCTCTATAGCAGCATTCTGAGGGGAGAAGTTGGAACAGATTATATCCACGATGTGAGAGGTCTTGTAGATATTTTCTCAGCCCTCTTTCTGGTTCATGCAGTACCAAACTGGTTTTACTTATGGACACTTCTGACTTTCATGAATTTTGTCAATGGTAAGATCAATATGCATATGTCTAGCAAGAGATCTGCCACAAAGAAGAGGGAGTCAAGCTGTTCTCCATAGCACCAGAGGGCAGGAGAAGAAGCAATGGATGGAAACCAATCAAGGAGAGAAGCAACTTAGAACTAAGGAGGAATTTCCTGACAGTTAGAACAATTAATCAGTGGAACAACTTGCCTCCAGAAGTTGTGAATGCTCCAACACTGAAAGTTTTTAAGAAGAGATTGGACAACCATTTGTCTGAAATGATATAGGTGTATCATCCTTGAGCAGAGAGTTGGACTAGAAGACCTCCAAGGTTCTTTCTAACTCTGTTATTATGTTATTAAGGATCTAGAAGGGCAGGTCAATGTGTCTGCTTTTGATTGAAAGATTCAACAAGAACAGAATCAATCTGGGTTAGAAAGCTAGTTAGAAAGGATCAGGTCTGGTTAGTGCTTGGATGGGAGCCAATCCAGAAACGGAGGCTGGATGGAGATGATCAAACCAACCCAGAAGAGATCAGTGGTGAAGTATTTCTATACTATTGCAACGAAAGTGACCAAGACATGTCCTTAACAGTCACCAAGTGCTAAACTCAGTTTCAAGGAACTTTAAACAAGCAAAACCGGATTGAAAACAGCACAGAACACACCTCTGGGGAAAAATAGAGAACAGACAATTGATTGTTAAACTGTGAACCATTTGTCCTCCTTGATGTAAACACCACCACCAAGATGTATCAGAAAGCTACATTTGATCACAAAATACACAATTCCTTATAACGATCAAGATAATGTATTTTGGTGAAAGCCATCCATAAACAGCCAACAATGGTGAAGTCAATAATGCTGGGATCCTGAACTGGACACTACAATCAATATCTTTGTATGTTCTCTGATTTCTGCTCTTTTTATGTTCATTCCTTTTGCGGGCATTTTGCCAACAATGAAAGAATCAAAAATCCATCTGCCTGAAAATCTCACTTCAAAACTTTTCATCTTCAGCCTATTACCCAGGGCAGATTAAAGTGGTTCTCAGCAGCTTTATGTGAAATTATGTGAAAATAGTTATGGCAACAAGCCATGTGCCAGTTTTGCTGTGAGGGAACCTGATGCAATTCAGGATCCCAACCAAGTCTTGCACCTCCTGGTCTCTGAGGGCTGGGGAAGAACCATTCCCTGTTGTCTAGTTCTTGGAGGAGGTCTATGATAATTTGCCACAACCAACTCGCCGCGGGAGAAGAGTTACATTAATATTGAAGAAATAATGGAATAGAATCTTTAAAAAGAGGATGCCAATGAAAATGAAATGTGAATGACAAACATTAAAATATTTTTTATTTATTTTAAATCATTCAATTGAATTGTTGAATTGTCCCACAGTGTGTTGTCCCATGGTAAGTTGGCCATGGCGAGTTGGCCATACGAGTTGGCCATGGCAAATTGGCCATGGCGAGTTGGCTACAGCGAGTTGTCCCATTCCTCTCGAAGTTGACTTTAAGAAACTAGACCACAATTACAAAAACACACACGTTTAAGCTCAGGAAACCGGGAAAGCCTGATTGAATGTCTCCTTCCTTCTTCTTACATTCCAATGTGAATGAGATCAGTTTAATTTCATTTCCTTACATTTTCTGTTTCCTGGGCTGCTTATTCAACTGTCCCTCTCAGTCTAGTTTCTCCATGGCCATCTCCTCTACTCTTGACAATGTCTTCTAAGGCCTTTGTACTTTAGGCAGCAAGGTGTCCTTACTGGTTTCCAAGCTGATTCCCCTACAAGAAACATTTCTTCTTTATCCAGGTATTGAGTTTCTATCTGATAGATCCTATTATAGATAAGTGACTTCATTTTCACCAATCTTTCGCCCAATGTATGAATTTGTAGCTTTGGAAGACTCAAAAATATCTGACACTATCTGATGGCCTTGAATCTCTTAAAAGGGATTATCTTAACTTGGTGAACTTTCTGTTATTGTCTGGCAGCTGTGAAAACAACTTGTAACGGACACTGGTTGTAGTGTCAGCAAACTCACAGCAGTACAGCAAACCTACTTACTTGTTACTTGAAACACTCAGCGGTTCTGATTTGAGGAGCAGAAGCAGAAGAGACACGTCCAGAGGCACACGGGTCCTTCGTTTAATTTCCTGCTCTCTGCAACCAAATTGACTCAGACATTTTCTGGCAGGCTGTGTGAAAAAGAAAGGAGGACAGACAAAAGGAGACATCAAAAAGGTGTAAAGAGAGAAAGGATGGGTGGCTAGAATTTGAGCAAACGTGACAACAAAGGAGAATATTTGTAGTTCAGAATTTAACTGTGGGATTCTTGGTGCTCTCAGCTTGGTTGTTTTCTTACAGACGTTTCATTACCCAAACAAAGTAACATTATCAGTGCTGGTGCTGCAGTACTGATGATGTTAACTAGTTTGGGAAATGAAATGTCTGCAAGAAAACAACCAAGCTCAGAGACCTCAAATGTGACATTAAATAAGAGGTTACTGTAGTGGACAGAGGGAATGTCCTTGAAGGACAGGAGGAAGAAGCACTACTAAGGCAATGGTCATAAAGAGGAGCTTGAGCCAGGGTCAAGGAAGTAACATGAATAAATGTCTCAGATCAGTCCTTCCTTTGATCACAGAAGATAAAGGGGGAGGAGGAGGAAGTACATTCAGATATGAAACTACAGGTAGTCCTCGACTTACAACAATTCACTTAGTGACCGTTCAAAGTTACAACAGCACTGAAAAAAGTGAGTTATGGCCATTTTTCACACTTACGATCTTTGCAGCATCCCCATGATCAAAATTCGGATGCTCGGCAAGTGGTTCATACTTATGACTGTTGCGGTGTCCCAAGGTCACCTGATCCCCTTTTGCAACCTTCTGACAAGCCAAGTCAAGGGGGAAGTCAGATTCACTTAACAACTGGGTTACTAACTTATCAACTGCGGTGATTCACTTAACAACTGTGGCAAGAAAGGTCACAAAATGGGGCAAAACTCATTTAACCAATAGCTCACTTAACAAAATAAATTTTGGGCTCAATTGGGGTCGTAAATCGAGGACTACCTGTATATGTTACTAAAGATATAGGTAAAGAGATATGAGAAGTGTTTCCCACCCTAGTTTTCCAGAGACTGAAAGAAAGGAGGAAAAAATACATTCAGGCTTCCAAGATTGATATTAGTCCAGGGGTGGGATTCTACAGGTTCGCACCTATTTGCTAGAACCGGTTGTTAACATTCTAAGCAGTTCGGAGAACTGGTTGTTAGAAGAAATTACTGGCCTAATCCTGTAAGGAAGGCGGGAAGGAAACATTCTGGTGTTGCTTACAGAAACTGCCTCTGTTAACCCTTTTCACATTCTTGGCAGGACTAGACTTCCTGTCTCAGGAACCTCTCTGGAGTTTTTTCCCTCTCCTTTGCTGGTACTTTGCTTGTGTGGAGTGACCATTCAAAGTTACAATGGCCCTGAAAAAAAGTGACTTATAACCATTTTTCACACTTACGACTGTTGCAGCATCCCCACAGTCATGAGAGGCCAGGCGAGGAGATCCATGCCTCAATATGAGTGATATTGAGTTGGCCATGCCCAGCCAATAACATGACCATCAAGCCATGTCCACCCAATCACATGACCACCAAGCCACGCCCACCAGCTAAGCCACACCCACAGAACTGGTTGTTAAATTTTTTGAATCCTACCCCTGTATTATTCCTGCAAGGTAGTCCAAACAAGAAGCACAACCAGCAGTACAACTGTATCTTTTTTGTAAGATTACATCAACGGACTCTTGCAAATCTGAATGTATTTCTCCTTTCCTTCTGCACTCTAGAAAACTAGGGAGGGTCGCATCTGAAACGCTGCCCTGCCTCCTCCCCCCTACTTCTATGGTATCTTTTGCATGAAGGTTGCCTAGTCTGCCACTTTGCCTTCTGTCTCTCAAGGTCCTTCCCACGTACCATTACACACCACCACTTGTGATGAAGTGGGAAGCCTCTCCAGGTAAAGAGGCAAGGAAGATACATCATGGGAATCAGCAAGGGGAAAGATTTCCAAAAGGGTCTACTCTAGAGGTGCCCAGAAAGAGTGCAGAGAAAAGCAACAAAGATGATTAGGGGACTGGAGGCTAAAACATATGAAGAACAGTTGCGGGAACTGAGTATGTCTAGTTTAATGAAGAGAAGGACTAGGGAAGACATGATAGTGTTGCAATATCTCAGGGGCTGCCACAAAGAAGAGGGAGTCAAGCTATTCTCCAAAGCACCAGAGGGCAGGACAAGAAGCCATGGGTGGAAACTAATCAAGGGGAGAAGCAACTTAGAACTAAGGAGGAATTTCCTGACAGTGAGAACATTTGATCAGCGGAACAACTTGCCTCCAGAAGTTGTAAATGCTCCAACACTGGAAGTTTGTAAAAAGATGTTGGATAACCATTTGTCTGAAGTGGTGGTCCTACCTAAGCAGGGGGTTGGACTAGAAGACCTCCAAGGTCCCTTCCAACTCTGTTATTCTATTCTTCCCTGAGACCCCAGGGCTAAATTAGTCCCTCACAAGTCTTGGCTGCAGCTCCCATGTTCCTCTCAAGGGTCTACCAAATGCTAATTATTAATAGGTCAATAGAAGAACACAACCTGCACAGATATTGTGTCAATTAATTATACATAATTATATCCTCCATGAGTACAATTATTTCACATTTATATTTGATTGGAATTAAGTGAAGTTACATTCCTTCCTCATCCTGTTACTTTTTTTGGCCAATTTCACTACTATGAGAAAACTACTAAAAAAATCTGAAGCTGAAACAGACTGTTCTTCCTTGCTTGCTATTAATTCTGTTGGGTGGACCAGCAACAATTTTGAAATTATTCAGAAAGCTATTTTATGTTATTACCACTACAATCATTTCCTAGCAATAGCATCCATCAATTTCAGGAACACGGATGTCTTCTCTAATTCAAGATTGCACTTGAACTAAAACTCCTTTTATTCCCAGCCAGAACTATTTTAGCCCACATTTACCAGAAGTCATTACAGTGATCGACCAACATCTGAAGGATACCAGATGCTTTTGTTATTGACAAGAAGGTCTAAACTAGAGTTGCTTTGGGCAATGAAATGAGCAGCATATATATTTAATAAATAAATACCCCAATTTCCACATAAGTTGTATCACAAATGTGCAAAGGGAAGACACAAGATACTTCTTGTTCTTTCAGTGATTCTGGAAACCATCTCAGTTTTGAAAAATTCCTTTTCTCCCCTCTTTCCATTGCTCGTGGCATTTTCAAAGACGAACTCTCAGCAATGTTTAAGTCAAAACTTTCCAGAAAATGCCACAGTACATTACAGTTTCTGTGGTTTTGGCTGGTACCACACAGAGTAATTTAGGCAACAATCTTACGAGACCAAACCCAGCATATTCCTGTGAAAGGGGAATGTGCTGACCAATTCCTTGACCTGGAACTTCTGTAGAGTATTGAAAGTTTTGGCAGCCACACCTGGACTGCAGAGAAGAATTCATATCCAGAAACAAGCACGTGTCTGGCTATATCAGATCCTCAACTACTGTCACATGAAAAACAACAACAACTGGCTTGTTATATTATTTTTGTTAAACCTCCACAGTGGAAGATTTGATCCTACAGCATTTTCTACCAGGGCATGCACAATCTTGAGCACCATGAAGTTTCTTATATCCTCTGATATAAATACAAAAAAATGGAGAGGTTCACCATTGGGAAATAGAGAGGAGATCGGGGAAGAAGCTCATCAACTCATCATCTGGTTGAACAGCTCCTTGTGACAGGTCAAATCTATCTTGGTAGCTGTTTTATGAACAGGCAAGATTTCCCACGCTCCAGGGAGTTCTCAAGTTACAAGTGTAGTGAAACCTATTCATCATGGTCATCATTTGTGATGGTTGCAAAGGAGGCTGGTCATGTGAGTGATTCGATTTTACAACCTTTTCTGTGGTTTACCATCAGCGCAATTTGTTATGGGTGTCAATAGTTCTCTTGTGTATTGTTTTGCTGAAAGCCGGAAGTAAATATCAATTTTCAGCAAAACAGCCATAAAATGCAGTCAAGAAACCACGAGATGCTGTAAACAGCCATAAATATGACCTGGTTTGCTGAGTGCCCAAACTGCAGTCATTTGACCAGCGGAGGTGAGCATCAGAATTTCAAATCTGGGTCTTAAGTAGGTCTATCAGAATTTTGAATGGTCAATAAGTGATCAGTCATAAGTCAAGGACTACTTGTAGCCATTTTGGAGACCATTTCAAAACAGGCTGTCAAAATGCCTCTGGACTACATCAGCCACATATATTCTAAGAATAAGCAATCCTATGAAGCTTTATAAAGTTCTGGATGGTAAATGCTTCTCTTGGACAAGGTCTGGAAGAATGATAAACTGTAAACCTAAGAAATGAATTCTGAATCTGGTCAAAGGAGGAAACCCAAAATATCACAGTTCTGATCGTCTATGGAGTGTCATGCCCTTGGTAGAGTCAGACTGTGAGGGAGAGGAGGAACAGCCAACAGGGAGTGGAGGTGTGGCTCCGGAGGTTGTGAAGGAGGCTGGGGAAGGGCAGAGGCCAGCTGGGCAGTCAGAGGAAGAACCAGGGCCATCCCCTCTGTATCCTAGGACACACAGAGAGGAATGGAGAAGGAAACAACTTGGCTTACGAGAGAGGAAGTGGCCATGATCCTCCTCATTGGTTACAGCTGGGGAGACTAGTATATAAGAGATGATTACAACACAGCCTTGCCAGAAGCAAAGTGTGTTTTATTTTGGGCTGAAGTTATCTTGGTTGGCATCCTTCCAACAGACTGCCTTGTTATCTCCTTGAATTTGGTAATTACTTATCCTGGTCCGTTGTGGGATTTCCTTCATTATAGTTTGTTTGGTTTTTTATTTCCCCTCTATCTGCTCATTAAGTTCGGACTGTATTGCTTTCTTTTGAAGACTATTTTTGAGTACGTTTTGTTTCCAACTGAGAATTATTGAACAGTGGGGCCAAGTTGGAGGCATTAAAGGACATTTATTTACGTTTTGGATTTTGTTACATTTGTGTTACACTCCGGGTCATCACATAGAGATTCTCAGTCATCCAGGTCATAGTTGTCCCAATAGGGCTTTTTCAAAACACAACTGGACTTTCTGTGTTTTTTTTTTCTTGAACA